TGAATTCATGTATTTCAAACACCTCTTAGCTTGTTATTTCCTGTATTTTTCCTTTTATCTGTTTTACCACTGCACATCAATCCTATTTCTATAATTTTTTCTATTCCTCTATTTTCAATTCCTTTATTCCAACCAGCCCTTACCAGGCTCGAGCGCGGAATGATGTTTAATGCCTGCTTGTATTGGTGAGTGGTGACACAGCGACGTGAATGCAGGGATGGGAGTAGGTAGCGTGTTCCGAAGGGGAAGAAAATCGTGTACTAGACCGGCCAACGGACAGATGCTATCTTCCAGAAACATGCATACTGATCCATCACAGCTGCATGGAGCTCTTTGCCGTCTTCTCCGTGTTTGTTTTTGCTCTCAAATCAGCTGTAGTTATTGACCGGAAGAGAAGGTTCAGGTTCAGCACATGGAGATCTTTGCCGTCTTCTCCGTGTTTGTTTTTGCTCTTACATATATATTCTGAGAAGTAAGATCACTCTTATTTTTACTCATCAGCTACAGCTAGTTCTGCATCTATCACTGCGTATCTATAGAAAACATGCATCAATAGTACAGTACTACAAAGCTTGCATAAAAACACAAAAGACAGCTGGGCTCCGGGCTGGCCCGGTTTGGCTATCCGGTTTTGTATTAAAAAAAGGGGAAAAGCCCAGCAACTTGTCATTGGGCCCCCATGGGTCCCTTAGTTATCCAAAAATCCACCAACCAACTTATACTAGGTAAGGTAATCGACATCTCCACATATTGTTTCTCTAATAAACAAACAAACGGCAATCGATATATATCTCTTCTCCTACTTTGAATCATTTTTCGTAATAAAAAGGCAGGAGACGATGATGAGGATGGCGAGCAAAACGCATGTTGTTGCAACGTAGCCTTCGTTGCTGGGCCAGCGATCAACCATAACCCACGTTCTGCTCCGCGTGCGCCGGTGGATAGAGCGGAAAGGAAAGATGCATGGACTTGTTTAAATCTGATTGCAACTCATCTAGCAAATGACTTGTTTAAATCTGATTGCAAGCCAAATGAAGAAGAATGTATGTATCTATTTATTAAATGGTGTATTGACCTGTTTCTTAGACCTGCGTATATGGAATCTACTACTCTGTCATATACTGTGGCAGTGGCCATTGTCAATCAACAACGCTGAGCCCCCAGCCCCCAGAGAGGTTCCTGCCTGATTCCAGCAGAACAAAGTTCACACACGGTAAATCAGCTCAACGCCCGACATAGCAGAGCGGTTGACACGCTTCCGCTCTTTGTATTTCGGTTTCTCAAAGCTAATTAACCCTGTTCGGCGGCCGGTTTTTAATTTACAACCACTGCTGTTGCTGCAACAGCTGGCTCTCACAAAATTACTGTACTGACAGCCAACAGCAGCTGCGTTTACAGGCAGCCGAAGCAGTCTCCAAAATTCCTATCTGGACAATCCCATGCGCAGATGCGCTGCCCTGCTTTCAGTTCCCTGATAGTGCTAGTGCTAGTGCTAGGGTAGACATAATAATGAAACCGTGATGCATGGGACATTCTCTGCACCTTAATACTCATCCAACATTCGGAGTATCTCTCTACTGTTATCTATTTGTTCTTCTCTTTTTGTTGTGGGAATGCCGATCCGACCTGATAGAGAGATCACAGATGGCGTAGACCCACATCAACAGATTGCCGCCGTGTCCTATGCTGCTGTAGTCTAGTCATCAACGTCTGCAAGCTGCACTGCTCAGTGCTCACGCACTGACGAATTCTCTATGCTTGAACGCGAGCCCCCTAGGCACCGTGTATGTACTGCTTAATGGGCCATGCCAGGACGAGGCCCTGCCCTGTTTGATGTCCTAGTGGTACACGGGCTCTTCTGATTGACATTTTAATTTAGCCCGCTCCGTTATCTTCTTTTCTTTTTCAGGATACAAAATGGAGGCCCGTTTGTAGTTTGTTGGGGGCCCTTTTCTGAGAAATCCGTGCGTTTCATTTCAGCTCATCACATCACATAAATAATACCTAAAAAATCAATATTATTAGCCCCGTGAAAACTCTTCTTCTTGCTCAACAACCCGTCATCACACATTGACGACATTGAGATGGTATCACTATATGGTTCAAAATGTTTGATTGCAGCCCTTGAAATGGACGGACGGACATGCATGGCTCCAAGACACTCATGGCCAATATATGCATGTACCAGTACCAGTACGTGTAGATCACTGAACGAATGAAATACGCAGCACATTCTACATACGAAAAGAAAGATTAGCACATTCAAGACGCCAAAATAGAAACTCGAGATGGTTCGCCGCCGAATAGTAGGCGTGCACGCATGATGCATCTCCTAGCTCGGTTGTATGGTGATTGATTAGTAGTTGACGGCGGAGCACTTGCGGCGGACCTCGCCCTCGTTTCCGGTGAGCACCTGGACCTCGCCGAGGCGGCGCATGGACTGGGCGAACTGGCCGACGAAGGCCTGGGACTTCTGGTCGGCGTAGGACCTGACGAACCCGCCCGTCCGGGAGTCCGCGAGCAGCTTCTGGTCCGTGTCCAGCAGCCCTTCCCGTGCAGCAGGTTCTTGTAGAACTGCTTGTCGAACGCCGTGGGCGTCTCGCCGTCCAGCTCCACGTACTCCGCGGCGCCGCCGGCGCCGCACTTGCGCTGCAGGAAGTCGCCGTACTGCCGGTCCAGCGTGCCTGCCTTCAGCCGGCCGAACAGCCCCGGCCTCACCGCGCCGCACGTCGCGCGACCGATCGTGTGAGCTCCTGCACGCATGCATGCATGCATGTCACTGTATGTCAGCGTGTGTGTGTGTATGTACACGACCGATGCATTGCACGCACTCACGACTCAGGAGTCAGGACTCACCGGAGAGGGCGACGAGGTCTTGGATGTTGAGCCCGTTCTTCTCGAAGAAGGCGATGAGCTGGTTGACGCTCTGGCCGTTCATGGGGACGTCGCGGTCGGCCGCGTCGGCGCTGAAGTAGCCCTTCCGGTCCTTGCGCCCGTACTTGAGCGACCAGTAGGGGCCCCTGACCGCGGGCGAGGCGACGGCGTCGCGGGCGGCGGCGGTGAGGATGTCGGCGCAGGAGACGGTGGCGTGGCACTTGGCTTCCAGCTCCTTCTTGATCTCCTCGATCAGCTCGAAGCCGCGCAGCGTCCTGCTCGCCTGCGCGTACTTCTCGCTCTTCCCGGGCACGTCTATCAGGACCGACCCGTCCACGCCCTGCACGCACCGACCGCCGGCAACACCACAATCTCCACCATGTCAATTCGCCCATTCACCGACCAGTCGACCATAAACTAGTTAAGCTTCTGTCTGTACTAGCTTATTACGTACCCCGACGGCGAAGTCGTGGAAGAAGAGGCGGATGATGCTGGCGGCGAGGGTCTCGTCGGCTTTCACAGCCTTCATCACAGCCGTCCCGACGATTTTCTCCATGTCCGGGCACGACTTCTCGTAGTACCTCTCGTCAAGGCCGTCCACGGACTTCTGGTACGCCGGCACCGTGTAGCTGCCTTCCTGGCCGCCGCCGCCGCCATTCGAACCGGCCGCAGCGCCGTCGCCACCGTAACCGTTGGAACCCGCTTGAGCGTCGTGGTGTCCGCCAGCATAGCCGTTCTCCCCCGGCGAAGCGCCGTAGCCTGTCGCGGCCACCGAGACGGCGAGGAGAAGGAGGAACCCGGAGAGGGCCAGGAACGAGGAGACAGCCCGCGGCGTCCTCATCTTAGCTCTGTCGATCGATCGCCGGGGGGTGGACCTGAGGCTTCTAGTTGTAGCTCGAGATGGTATCCATTGCGGCAGCATACTTTTTATACTACTGGTACAGCAGCTACCTCCCCGTACATGCAAGCACGTACTCCTAGCAGCTTACAACGACGTGAGGAGCAACACATACAGCATTTTGATCGACGATACCTAGATGGTTTGCACGTAGGTGGTGGTGGTTGTTGTTGGAGGCTTGGAGCAATCCAATTATATATTCTTCAATTGTTGTCGGCATTTATTTCAAAAGGAAGCGTGTCCATTGCAGATCGATAATGAGGCCCTGACTTCTGTTAGCGTTAGAGCTTCAGGCCTGGTTTAGATTGCAAATTTTTGCAATCCGGACACTGTAGCACGTTTTGTTTGTATTTGACAAACTTTGTCCGATCATGGACTAACTAGGTTCAAAAGATTCGTCTCGTGATTTACAACCAAACTGTGCAATTAATTATTTTTTTTACCTACATTTAATGCTCCATGCATATGTCCAAAAATTGATGTGACGGAGAGAGAGTGAAAAAACTTAGAATTTTGATGAGATCTAAACAAGGCCTCACTTGCAGCAATCCACATCGTGTCAGCAACTCCCATCTTGCTGCTAAATACAAAGTCAAAGGCACACATAGCCACGTTGCAATTTCCTATTGGCTCCTGCAGACACACAGCTTGGTAGCAGAATGTTAATTCAGGGTAGACACTGGTGCTGGTCTCACCTGATGAGAAAAATGGCAAGAGAATGAGATTACTAGGGGTGGGTGTTTTGGGGAGAGGTATTTCGCCGGGACTCATGAATTCAGTTCAAATCTGCAGTGAATGAAATGTCAAAATGTCAGTAGTGTTGTCTGGGCCAAAACATGCTCCATGCATCTGTTGGTCCATACATGCGACTTAGTTTCAAACAAACACAATGGATTCTACCTGTTATAGCATCCGTATATCATCAGTGGAACTTTACAGTGATGTTAAAATATACAGGGTCAAGAATACAAGTGGGGAAAATGCTCCGCTCCATATGAAACAAGCTGCAGAAAAAGGCCTAAAAACAGCTTTCAGCAAAACTCTATTCTACTAGTGGGTTCATGCTTCATACTCATATCCCGAAAAAAAAAAAGAATGAAGTTAGGGATAATTTCTCAGGTGAGCTCTTGAATTTTATTTCTCAGACTAGTTCTCAACTGCTTCAAGATTGGATGCTAGCAAATCGTTCCATGTGTCCGTTGGTCCTGGCAAACACCAATGCATGCAATCATCGTGTTTTTTCCGCCAGTTGTGTTGAAGGGTGAGCATCAGCTCTGAATTCACTCATGCGAGTGATGTCCAGAACTCTGAAACTAGACTGTTCAAGAGCCTTCATCAAGTGTTGGTTTACCAATCGTGCTTCTACATTGGTGCTGTTATTGTCCAAAGACAAAAATTCTTCCACCTGAACAGATTTGCCTCAATATGTTAGTCTAATTAAAAAACAGATTTTGCCAGAAACCATCAAACAGTTTGTCATTCAGATCCAGTAACCTTAAAAAACTGAATAAGGGTTGAGTCATATTATCTTCAATAAACATTTTCTCATTCTTTATATTACAATTGTCCTACCACCCAAATCCATGTCAGCATATTATGCATGATGTTGGAACAAACATTGAAGAAACATAAAGCTTGCATGAGGTGAAAAGTTTGCTATTTAAGCATTTCATGTATTTAGTATCATATCAGTACCTCTTCTGACGACAAGGGCTGGTTACGTTGGCAAGATCCACCTTCATTCCAGTCACCACCTTCGAAATGTCTAGGAGATTGAGTCCGGAAGAATTTCACTGTGTTTGGTCTCATTGCTTTGTTCGCAAACATTATCTGATGGAAATTATTTATTCAGAGCATAAGAAAGATAAGTTGAATGCCATTCTGATAGACATACATAGGGAATTTCTGGTCTTTTTAAGAGATACAAGTATCATAAATCCATTCAGATCAAATTCACATGGTAAAGAATATTAAAAGAACTGGCAAAATTCGTGAATTAGTTGAAGTACAGAAGTATAATATCCATATACCATGGCAGTGTACTTTTTTCACAAAGAGAATTAGAGAAATGCCAGTCCATTGCATAGTACGGATAAAGTGGTTATTAGATATCAGCTAGGGCGCCCTAAACTGGAGCTTTTAGTGACATGAAGAAACAAGGCTATAGGCATACCATGTTTTGAAGAGCCAAATCCAGTCCAGCAGGTGGCAGTAAAGGAGGTACAATTGGCCTCCCTTCTCAAAGAACAGCATTGGTGACCGTATTGGATCAAATTTCGAGGGTGCCCACCACCTAAGTACAAAACAAAGCAAATGAGGCCAGATGTAAAAGAATATATGCGTACATACATACAGAGCAAGATAAGATAATTTTTCAGGGATCAGGGAATAGCTGAGGTGGTAGGCTGCCCTCATTATATATTATCATGTGTGTCACAATATTGTCTAGATTATCAAAGCAGACAAAAACCAACATGATAGCTGTGTGAAAATTAAGACAATTGAAAAGCCCTCAGAAAGATATACAGTGAGCTGAATCACATTCTCTTCCATCAGGCAAAAGCTATTTAGTGGCAACTCCCAATAAAATTATATTCATTGGTTTCTGATGTATTAACTGGCTAGAACATAGTATATTGTGAATAAGAAGTAGTTCACAGTGCACTTTTGTCAAGTTTCAACTTTGATGGGAAACAATGTAACTATAGTACTTAGTTTGTATAATAACAAACTTGTTTATCTGTCAATTGATCACGCCAATAACTTAAATCATAAAATGCCATTAGTTTGGCATCAAGCTGTAGAACTGTTGATTTAATGCTTATTTGTTCATGAACAGTGAAATTCACCGATTCACGTACCAATGCCCAGTGTTGAAAATAAGAACATCATGGAAGCTACATGCCTCTACCCATGTTTGGTCAGGAATATCCACATCAACTCTGTAACCTTGCTTATATCCAAGAGATTCTAGAGTGCCTCCACTTGGATTCGCTGACCACCTACAAAATGAGTGATATGGGGTTCAATAAAAAATGACGAATTAGAAGGACAAAAGTATCGCCATGAACAAAAAAATTCTGAATCAGCGTCTAATTCACATAAAAAAAACTCGAAGGAATCAAATAGGAAAAAATAAAGAGACACAGTGACTGATAAGAGCATAGTTCTATTAACATTAACCCACTATTTATTAAACCAGGTAGCAAGAATGCCCGACTGGGAGGTATTTCAAAATTTTCAGTGCTTCCAAGTTACACCTAGAGTTCTAAACTGGAAGCAAGATATGCAAAGATGAAATAAAATTCTGGCATAAATAACAATACAAGTAGGTCACACATCCAAATAACCATTTTTTATGCTAATCCAAATGAAATGACACTTCTTACCTACCATAGCGTACCAAGAGATTTGTCCTGTGGTATGCCACGGTGAGGTTATAGCGCAGGAAGGTGAAGCCACGGTCTGCCCCTGCAGGACGCCATTTGCGAACCTCGCTACTGACTCCCCTGAGCATGCAGACTAATGAGGCAAACATGTTGCGGTTCAAGGAATCACCCACAAATCCTGCAATAAAGGTATCAGACAACCGTCAGCATAGCAAGGCAAATTTCGGAGACTCTAAATATATGAGCTTGCAACAGGCAGAAAATTTGAGTACACTTACTGCCTCAGAATTTGGAAGTGTGAATGAACCTTGCTTCTACCATGTGGCAATTCTAATAATCTAATTAGAAGCATGTCACAGAATGGAAACAATGGAACATGCAACCATAGCGCCACATAACAACTCTAGAAGATGGAAACTGGAAAATATGATACACCTACGCAAATTAGCTTATGAGATGTATAAGTAACTAATAAATGCATATCAATGTGCCCATGTTTGGAGGTTACTCCCATCCCCAACCAGACCACCAAGCAAAGGAAGGCATGCAATCACATTACTCGCTTGCTGACCATTGTATAACTAAGTGGACCGCACCACACATCGTCGCCACATTCTACACACCCGATAATCCTAGCTCCCGAATCAATTCCTTTGAAAACTACCCGACCACAGCACCTTGTCACCACCAAGTCGCATCGCATGTCAAATTTCTCATGAATTTTTCGGAAACAACAAAACGGGAGCGGGAAGTTACCAATACTGGTGTCCCCGTGGCGCTCGAGGAACCGGCGCGGATCGAGGCGGGGGAGCTCGCACTCAGGCCCACCAGCGGGCCTCCACCGCCAGCCGAGCAGGTCGCGGGCGTTGGCCTTGCCATTGGCGATGCAGTTCCAGCCCTTGAAGATCTCCTTGCAGGTATGGTCGTAGCGGAGCGAGGAGCCCGCGACGGGGTCGCGCACCCACTCGCCGGCGGAGTAGTCGCAGGCCCGGGACTGGGAGTTGGGCTTGCGCGGCGCGGGGAGGGGTCGAGACGAGGGCGAGGAGACGAGGTGGAGGAGGAGCAGCAGAAGGGGAAGCAGGAGGAGAGGGACGACGAGGGCGCGCCGCCGAGGCCCCGTGGTCGGGCTCCTCGCCGGCGGCGGCATGCGAGGGAGGGGGGCGAGGTTGGGCGAGCGAAGCAGATCTCGTGCTTTGCGCGGTGGGCCTACAGTACACAGCTCTTGCCGAGGAACTTTGCTGGGCCAAATAACGGAGAAGGGACAAGTACCGGGCCCTTAACAGGCCGAGTTCGGGCTGGAACGTACGTAAACATTAGTGTGGGCCAATCCCGCAGAGCAACTTTCCTTCTATCCGAACGTGCACAAGGTCTTGCAGTCTGTAGACGCAGCAGAACAGAAAATGTTCCTCCTGTTCCTTGGTCCTCATCAGAAACCATCGTTTCGGTCTCTCGATCGCATTATATTACTCCAAATTATAAATCACTCTGTGTTATGCATCTAGATATAATAATACATGTCGAACACACATATAGAAAAAATCGACGAATTAAAAAAGTCAAAATAGTCGACTTATAATTTGGAGCATGAACATGTAATTAGTTAATGTCAATTTTTGGACTTAAAATTTGTATGCAACCCTAGACAAGCTATTTATTGATTGACCTCGATCGCAAATAAAAAGGCATTGTTGATTACTCGGCGATGATGCATGTGATGGTGTGATTTGTGCAAAGTAAGTGCTTCTTGCTTCAGAATAGTTGTTGTAACTTGTAAGTAAGCCTTGCGGAGTGCTGGAACTGGAAGCAGAGGATACTAGTTTGGCAGCCGGCAGAGCATAGTACCGTACGGCAACGCAACGAGATGAAGGCAGGAGCGTCGTGGTAGCAATAGCATCCTAGAACTAGCTGGCGTCATACAGTGTCATGCCTACGTACGCGTACGTCCTCAGCGAGACTCGCCGCCCGCCGGGCGGCATTGCGTGGAAGCTAGCGGTATAGCGATCGAGTAGCCTGCAGTTCCAAGCAGGAATGGTGCCGTATACCGTATACGTTAGTTGGTTGTTCTCCCGTACGTGACATTTTATATAATATATACTCCGAGGCCTGGGCCAGGCTGTGTGGCGCGGCGTTCGTCCTCGTCGGTCCACGCTGATGAAACGCGTGCACAGGCAGTCTCACGCGGCGTTTCAGTCCCCGTGTCCGCACGCCGCGCGCGTTTCTTTCAGTGGCGTCGTCGTCCTGCCTGCTGGACGTACATGAGCCGATGCGCGCAAACATTATTATCTGTCTATCTAGCCATCCATGACTTTGCTGACACCGATAGATTATCAGCAGAGGGCAGATACCAGTACACATGCATGCTTTTGTAGTCTGGTTTCAGTGTGTACCGCATACATCTTGAGGCTGAATTTTCGGCCGCACAGGACACGGCTACAGACAAATGATCCAGATGTAAAGTGCACTGCCGTCAGACGTGTTTGTTCCATCTGTGGTTTTCAGCCCCAGCTCGCAATTCTGACTTTGCATCCCTGGGCTGTGGTGCTAGTCAGAATTTCTCAAGATGCTCCTGGTCCTGGACGCGGCGGCTTCTGCAGTCTAGTAATCAAAGTCCCATCTGACTGAAACAATGCCACAGTAATGGATTTACCAGCAGGTGGAGTTCATACATACTGGTCAGACACATCGTTGATTCATGCCTCGTGTAACAATTGTGTCTCCTGCTGCAATTATTTACAGTAGGGTTTTTTGCTCTGCCTCTTGAGAATGTTTGAAAGCCCGGCATCCGTGGAGCAAGCGTTGTTTTGTTTCAACAGTCGTCTAGTATTCACCTTCTTCATTCATACAATGTTGCAGGACGTTATAATTCTTCATCGCTGTGCCGGCAGTTTTTTTTTTTTTTTTTTTGACGAACCTGTGCCGGCAGGTATTCCTATTGTACAACAGAATTCTTGTTTTTGCGCGACAAGATCCACCAAGGCAGATCGCAGAGCAGACGGCATGCTACTTTATCTGTTCAACTTTGAGATCTTCAAAATACTGACACGGCCTTACCATTTTCTATCCAAAATCCTGCAGTTCATACCACCAAAGTCATCACAACATGTATATGTCAATGCCCAGGCCTCGATGACAATCGCGCAACAAGTTTTGAACTTTTGATTGATGTCGCTGCCTGTTATGTAGTATGGATCCTAAGCATGGTTCTAATTAAATGCTCACTATCCATGATGTATACTATCCGACATCCGTGAATCCATCTTGTATTCTTGTTTATGAATATATATATGATGTTTGGTTTGACTGAAGTGTCAAACGCTACATAGCACAGTAAACAAGTACTTTCAGCAAATGAAAAAAGAAGTGGGGAAGGACGACTGCACTTTATTTGCAGATATTCAAATTTATTCGCTCGTTGGTTTGGTATGCGCCTTATCGGTCGACCAACAATGTTTTTCCTCTTACAACAAACCAAAGACCAATCGGACTTATCGGTTCGTAAACCAACCAAATGAATGTGTATGATTATTAGCTAGATGGTTTCCTTTTCATTGAAAATCTCCGATATTTCCGATATATCCTTTTTATCCTTAGGTGCCGATAAGAAAATATCTATCTTTTTCATTATAATTTTTGTTTAAATTTATTTAAATTCACTTAAATTCAAATTAAATTTTATTTGAATTTGGTCCGATATTCCGATATATCCTGTTTATCCTCTTTATCTGTGATCACCGATAAATTTTAATTTCCGAAAATGAAAACCTTAGCTAGGACCAAAAAGGCACCGACAGTTCCTAGTTTGCTACTAGCTCAATTATCAGCAAGTACACAAGTTCCTATTGCCTAACCTTCTAGCGAGAGAGAGGAGGATTATTAGCCTACCCAACTAGAAGCTGAAGCTTCGTCTTCAAGCAAATTCCAGGAACGTAACCATAGTTATATTTCTCATGAAATTACTTCTCCAAAAGATTAATTACCGTAAGATTCGATCATATGAAATGGAGCGTGTCTATAATATTTAGGCCGAACAAACACATGTTTACACTTTAAGTTTCATCACTCATTACTTGGTATCATTGACAACCATCTATCATTCACTATAAATTTAGCCACTTATCGTTTAATAGTTATTTTGAAGTAAATCTGTTGTTCTAAATTTCCAAGTGATCCTGTAGTGTACTTGTTTTGACATGCATGCATCAGCTAGTGATACGATGACTGGGATCAAAAACTACGAACACCATAGAGTAGTTTACTCCGTGCCAACATGACAACATACTCCTACTTCTATTAGCTACAACCTACTACAGAGTACTCCGTATGTCTCTCCCGCTGACACACAAGACTTTCAGTAGTACAGTCTGATGCGTGTGTGAGAGAGAGTATCAGCTATGAATAAAGCATAGCTTTGTTTTTTTTTAAAAAAAAAGAAGAAGACCTCCCTATGTCGGCGCATCGTTGCTCTGCTGTGTTACATCTCGCATGCCATCGTGTACAATTACAAGCGTATGGCCATTTTTTTCTATGCCGTTTGGGCTCTACACATCCATATAAATTTTAGAATTATACGGTACAACGTAGACGTCCACAACATACACGCACATTTACTTCTATGAACACACTCATCCCTATGAGCATATCCGAAGGACTAAGCCGGCGCATCTCGAGATTCACAAAGTCACCACAGAAACCTCGCTGTCGACGGGGACGTCGCCTACCACTAAAAACATAAGGCCGTTAAATCTTGGAATAAATCTAGGAAATGCAAGCACCTATGCTAAGTTGAGAACTTGAACCCGGTGGACATGTTCCACCATAAGAAACCTAACCAAACACTACACATCCATATATAGAAGTACATGGTAAAAGTTATGCACTGTTTTTTGGCGTCCCAACTGCCAAAAGTGCTGAACTATTTAGGAGGCAATTTTGCATTTGCGAGCTAGATCTAAACTATACACATTCATTCATCAACTATTTTCCGATACTCAATTTCGTCCATGAGCACTGCTAAAGTGATAGTTTCAATTTTTAAAGTTTACTTTTGGCTAAATTCTATCTCTGAACTATTGAAGTGACCTAATTCAAACTTTACTTTTGAACTTAGTTTCATCCACGAACTAATCAAAATGGTTGTATAGCCTTCAAACTTTTCTTATGGGCTCATGGCATGCCACATTACTTCTCTTCAGAGCCGATAATAAACTCCTGAGTGACCAAGATTCTAAGGGTTTCCCATAGCGCGGCTGACTACCCGGTAAAGAGATGGGCCAGTTCATGGTCAGTCTAGAAGGCACGATACAAGGTGGCGTGCTCTCCAAGGCAAGAAGAACCGACCTAGTTAGATTAGAAAAGTCTATCTCTGTAATAGGATTAGAAGTCTTCTGTTGTAATCGACTAGGACTAGAATTGTGCACCCGTCCTCTGGACTATATAAAGAGAGATAGGTGCACCCCTTGTAACATCATCATACAAAGCAATCCAACGCAAGATAACACGCCACACTGGACGTAGGCTATTATGCTATTTAGCGGCCCGAACCAGTACGTTTAACCGTCAAGTTCAGTTTACGCCGAAGCCCATCAATCCTCGCTCCGGGTAACTCTCCTTCCGATCTTACTAAGTTGCTGGCACTAGCTAAGAGATCTGAGAGATCTGCGGGTCTCCCACCGAGCAGCCAACTATATACATCTATGCAATGTGTTTGCAAACTAATAAGAAAGAAAAATACTACTTTTCATGTTGTAGCATTGTCATCTTCAGAGTTCACAAATCACCTGTTGGACAGCTCCTTAGGGCGGATCAAAAGGCTAATCTGGATAAACAAAAAATGGATAATGTTCTCTTACTACCCATCACGAAACTCTGATGTGCAGCTGCCTGGCGGGGTTCAAGCCCCAATAACTCAACAACTAGAGGTCATGGGACTTTTCAAACGGTCGTGTCCTGTATGGACTCAGACACAAGGAGCGGGGCACGTGCCCCTCCTCAAATTCTAGGTTCCTAAAGAAAATATACTTTCTTTCGTATCTATAGGGTCCATGAGTAACAAACCGTCACTCAAATTTTGTGCTAGTAAACAAAAGCACCTATGGATTCATCGTTTTTAAGGGGTTGAATTTGCCTAAGGCCAAGTTGGTCAAGGCA